GATTTGCTAATAAAAAGTATTTTACTAACTGATTAATCAAAAAATGCTCCGAAGCATTCATATCATCAAATGGACCATAGCGTTAAGTATTCCTCACTAAAGTATAAGGTTACAAGCAGAATAAAATAAATAATTATGACGGTCAAATTGTTCTTTTTTATAGTACTTGTGAATTATAGTATACGATCATAATAATTATTATACTACTTGTACATCGTGTTCCTATTAGGCCTATTCTTTTTGGCTGAACTTTTGCACCAGTTCATCTTTCTTCCTTTTCTCTCCAAGAGAAGAAGAAAGGAAAAAAGATGAATAGGTGCAAAAGTTCGGACCTATAGATAGACAATATTTTTGTCTTTATTGCAGATATTATTATTCCCAAGATTTCTGTAGCAGTCAAGAGATTTATATCAGATAGAATAGCTAGTAGGCATGCAAGTCCAAAAAGGGGAAAGAGAAATATAAACTTTAGGAAAAGAAGCAATATATTTGTAGGTAAGCTCCTTATAGATTGCTAAATTGCATTATAATAATATTATGCCATGTTTTATATATATCTCTGTATTTCTTACAAGTTACAAGTCTTTTGTACAAGTTACAAGTAGAGTTCCTCTAGTAAGAGTTATTCATGCATGTCCTCACAGGAAACATGAGTATGAGACAGAAGGTTTGTTCATATTGCATGCTTCAACATGCTTCTATCATAGCTCCTACTCACTCTAACAAACGCGTTGAAGTGAGTAGAAGCTGTGCTAGGAGCATGTTGGAACATACGACACAAAACCTAGAGTGAGAAAACAAGTATTTTTTCTGTCTTACTATTGTTGCCTGAATATGGTGGAACCAATAAAAAAGTCATCGCTCGTTTCCTAAAGGTTTTTACTAGAGGAACTCTAGTTACAAGTAAGTAACTCTAGTCACAATTGTTTTCGACTATATGGCCTCATTTGCTATTATATAACTCGTCTTAAATCTGATAAACACAACGTTTAAGATTTATAATCTTTAATCAAGAATCTTTAACGAATCTTTAACAAGAATAAGAAAACTAAAAAAAGTAGTTCCTGAAATGTTAAAACTTACAATCATTTATAACCATTTTCAATAAAATTCAAAATGTAAATGAATGGCGTATCAACAATAACAATATTAAAGGTAGTGTATCTTTTATTGATTTTAAAAATCTATTGGCTGTATAAATTTTTTCGATCATTCTTCAATTTTTTGTTAACTGAATAAGAGTACAATATCGAATCTTTAAATTATAAATACTGAGATACTTTATGCTAAAAAAAAAACAATATTTTCTTTAATAAAATTGCATCCAACAACAAATTCTTTGGGCAGAAAGTATCACGTCTTGTACTCCATATGGACACAAATTTTGAAACAACCTCTATATACTTATATATTAATATATTTTTCTGTTTTTGTTTATAGATTCTTTCATTGCAACACTTCTACTGCTGTGCACAGAGGCTTTAACAGTTTTTTTATACTTACTTTTTAATGAAAAATGTATTCGTGCTATAACAAAATGTTTAACAAGCTTATTAATGATATCATGACATGATGGAACAAAGTCTGTTGGACAATTACGAAGAAATATTTCTATAAAATCTGTAATTTTTAGTTCATTTCAGATTAAATGTATTTCATGTTTTCGGAAGAATAACTCACACTTATACATAACATTGAATATGTCCATACTCGGAAATGTCAATACATTTTCTTTATACTCTCTTAACTTGGAATATAAACTTAATTTATTATTAGGATCGTAAGTAGTAACAAGAGTGTCAAAACAAGCATTGCAATGTTTATAGTTTATAGTTTTTCTTTATAGTTTTTTTCTTTATTTTACTTATTAATGCATCTATTAAATGATATAATGAACTTTTTATTGTATCACTTAAATCCGTCTCATTTCTAGTTAATGTCTGATACATTTCTTCATCACACAAATCATGTTCTAAACTGTTCAGAAATTGTGTCTCTACAGATATTTCATTTTGTGAGTCTAATTTTTTTATTTCGTTGCAATATGTAATAAGATGCTCAGATTCATTAACAGAATAATTGCTACGATTCATATTACTTTGGAATTGCGATAGACAAACAAGTTTTAATGTTTGTTTAAATTCACGTGCATCTGGAACAGCTTTTCTTCCTCGAATCATAGAAAAAAGATTTTCCAAAGCGTCCTGAGTAAACCTTCCTAATAATAAATATCTGAAGTTATGATTACTTAAAAATTGAGCTTGTAAATCTAGAGCAGTTTTCAAATAATAAATATCTGAAGTTATGATTACTTAAAAATTGAGCTTGTAAATCTAGAACAGTTTTCGTGCAAAGTAATAACCCAGTTTGGAACGGTTTCCAATTGTTATCGTCGACCGTGATTCCGGTAATTATTTCTATAAATTCCTGGAGAAAAGTAATGCTTTCGTTGTATATACTCATATTATAATAAGACAATGCAAGCTTTTCATAGCGACTTGTCATGAGTTTGAACCATTTATGCATTAAAGAAATAAACCAGGCAGTAGTCGTATGCTTCTTATCAATATTTTTCTTCGTTATATGAAAAGTAATAGCTGCCGCAACATTATCATTTAATAATGCGACGCTTAAAGCCACATTCATAGTACCTATCGAAATGAAACGGATTTAAAACGTTTTCTTTAAGACGTGGACATAACTTTAATGTATCTTTTTCATCTATCTTAAATACTTCATAGATAGGTGTCATGCAAATTTCGTTATGTTGTAAATTGTACTTTGTAACCAGTTTTTGATTTAAATAAAATTTATGCTTTCTTAACGAGCATGCAACGTTTTTATAAACATGGACGGAATCTGGCATAATATACAATTTGTCTGTATCATTACATGGATGTTGAATATAATTAGTGATCGTACTAAATCTACCGGCTGTGATGTTCATCAACTTCCACCAACTCCTGTTTTGGACTCCCATATCGGAAATAACAGCTGTAATTTTTAATTCAATATCATGTGCCTTTTGAACAATTGTTCTAATTTTATTACACATTTCTTGGTTACAAAATGAATTAGCAGTATACTCGTATGCAAAGATTTGTTTCCACTTAGTACTGATACCGCACAACATAAAAACGAGACCATGTGTAGCTAGTCCTTTTGAACTGTCAAATCCACCCGACAATTTCATTGTGGGTTTACCTACAACTAAACCTATAGAATTATCGAATTGTACACCGGGTTTTATAGACATCTCGTCTATTAACAGTACCGCATGTTTCTCCTCAGGTTTAAACACAGATATCTGAAATTGAATCCTATATTAAACACAGATATCTGAAATTGAATCCTATATTATATAAGAAACCATTTTAAATTAAAAATATTTAATATTAATAAAATATTTGGCAAAAAAACATCATGCTAATTATATTTTATGTTAATACTAACTTCTATTTCAAGCAATTTGAAAATGTCTTCAAAAATACCTGGCTTAAATTTAAAGCCTTGTACGCGATTTTGTAATGTTCGAATACTGGGATAGGGTAAATGTTGTCGAAGTAACTCTTCATAGCCCTTCTGTCCACAAGACACATAAAACCTCAATGCTTTCGTACCTGTATTTGCTGACCATGCTCGTCCTTCGTGTGATTCGTATATAATACATTCTCTTTGATCTTGATTGAATACTTTTTCCAAATTTTTTTGCAAAGTGTGATATTTTCGGAATTTCTTTTTCAAAACATTAACGTATTTTAATTTTGTTTTCATTGATTTTAACGTTTTTCTGATTGCAAAATATTGTTTATATATTTTATGAGTTTTTGATGTTTTACATTTGTTATAATCATTATTAGTATTGCCAATATTTTCTGTACCACATATTTCTACGTTACATTGATTTTCATCTGCAAATGTTTATTCAATTCAAGTCAATAATATTATAGTAACACATGTAGCTAAGAAAATTATTCAAATTGTATTCATAGATTTTTTATATCTGAACATTATTAAGCCCAAAACCCAATGCGAGGCAATGATAGAAATAACATAATTTCAACCTATCAGAAATCGGATATACCGGAATACACA